CAGGCTAAACTAAAGCCTAATACTAAGCTTGAGTCCATGAGGAAGCATACGACAACACAGAAGTTAATGCATCAACATAGGGGTCAGCCAAAGTCTAAACCAAATTTTAATCAGAAGTCGAGGTCTAGATCTAAGATTAACTATTACCTCATGATTAAAGTCATTCCTAATGCTAATTTTAAGAATATGCCAAATCTTAGGCCTGAGCCTGGATCAAGGGCTTGAACCTAACAGTTAGACTAAGTCTGAGCTCACTCGTAAGCTATAAGGTAAGACTAGGTTTGAACCGAAGGTTAAGATAACGCCTAACCATAATTAAACCTCAGCCTTAGGATACGCGTTTGCTTAAGACTAAGCATCTGCAATATGAGGCTCCTTTCCGCATCAAGAAATCCTCAGAAAAGTAGCACCTGTAAAAAGGCCCTGCGAGGAAAACTCTTTGCCGGTAAGCCTCACAGCGCAGTTAGCTGGAGCTTCATTTGGCAGGGGTGAAGGGTACACAGGTATTTTGTCGAAAATGCCTTACAAATATGGGAATTGGCTAAAATCATTTAAGATGGTCGAATGGAATAGACGTCACAATCAAGATACCCTTATATCCTCTGCTTTCAGATTGAGTTGTACTACCTCAGACCATATCGTATGACTGATGGTTGGCCGAAAGTCTTTAGAAGTGAAGCAATGGTACTAAAGGGTTGTAAGCGCCCAGTTGGAAGCGCACCGTTTAGATGGGTCGATCAGCAAAAGCAGAGATATGGAAGTTTATGGCGGCAAATTGCACAACACAGACAAATGTGGCCAGGGAGATCAGGCAATGGCGATCGTCGTAGATCTCGAAGAACCAGTCAATTGTTTTCGCATAAGATATTCGGCTTTGAGGTTCTGTTTGAGGGTTTAAAAATTTTAAGGATTCATTAAAGAATAAATGTTTTAGGAGCAGTCACTTGAGATTTCTTGCATTGCTGAAAGGCTTATGCGCCGGTTTCTCGTGGAGCTGACGTCCGGCTTGATTTTCGACCGGATTGAATGGATTGACAGAATGACCATAATCCGCATTTAGGCCTTAACTGTTGTTCATTTATAAGTTTACTCGCTGACAATCTACCGTAAATAAGGTGAGCTACGTATTGGACCCAATGCACCTTCCCCTTCGTGATTTCGATGCCGTTGTCGTTCAGATTCGTCCGCTGTCTGATCACCGTGTTGGGAATATGGTCGCAACATGAGATCTGGAATATCCTTCATTCGCGGCTCTCTCTACGACAGATAGTTGGCAATCTTCTGCCTTAGTGAGTGACCACGTCTCACAGGCATATAACGTTGCCGGCAGGAAGGTGGAACTGAAAAAGTGGGCGTCGGGCTTCTTTTCTGA